CCGCAACATGTTCCCTAAGAGAACAAGTCCCCGGGAAACAGAAGTTTCTAGCTTCCCGACTATTCTGCTGTCAATAATCTTATTGCAAGGCGACGGCAACCCTACCCACTCAAGGAACCGATGACGAAGGCACTATAGGCGAGATTTACATTGCTCCAGAAAAAATATTTTTATTAATATGAGTTAGTTTCGTTTCTCTTCTTCGTGGACACAAAAGTACTTGATTTAGTTTTCAGGCAACTTCTTTACTTGTTTGAATTATTGCTGTTTAAGTAAACAGTTAATAACTCCAAATCAGAGTTGTGAAGTTTCAGGGTTTGGGGAATTTTTCTGGGCAAACGCCTTACGACTGTCATTTCTGTCGATTTGAGCGTTACCGATGGTTTTAAGTTGTTTGTTTACTTCGTTACGTCTTTTTTTTAGACCAAACGATACTGTGCATAATTATGCTACTACTTTTGTGAAGGTGCAATGTTGCATGATCATTTTATACGGTATGTGCTATGCCGTAATCATGTTCATTGTGCTCGAGGTGCAAAGTTTTTTCTTTTTTGACAAACAAACCCCGTAATGTGATAACGAAGTTTGAACTGGTTTATTATTAAAAAGTTTGGAATTTTGCGGTCTTCCTGCCTGCTAGCGGAAAGCGGTATTTTTTACGGCATTCTTACTGTTACAGTTTTGAGAAGAAAACGTGGTGGTTTCGAATTATCTCTCGCTCTCTCTCTATAAAGCATTAACAATAAAGCCAAACAAATTACCTACCAATTAGGCTACTCAACCATACCAAAACCAAAGTAACTGCTTGATTACTTTCCAAACTCAATTGAAAACCGCTCTACCGGCCACGAATGCCAGCCATATGATATCAACAACATGACATTAATTATTCCTCTCTATTTTTTTTAATGTTCCGTAACTGACTTATATAATATGAAACAAGCTTTCCCTCGCACCCTCAACCTCAAAAGGCCTTGGAAAGAAATAAAACGCTCAATAAAGCCCTCGTCACTTGGTAGAGTTTTTAACACTGTGTTACCATTTTTCATCAGCTACGCGGAAATGGCTAAAGGTACTGAGAACAGAGAATCCATGAGGCACATGAACCCAGTTGCAGAAGAAGCCATGTCAGTAGCAAGCTCTTCAGATGATTCAGCTGCTGCTGCGGCAGTGTTCCGACATCTTGGTACGTAATATTCACTAAATAATAATTTAAAAAATCAGTTTTTTAATCCCTAGTAATTAATCATTTGGGTCAAACGTGCCATTTTCCATTTTTGGTAAAGCCTCTTGAAAACGGAGCCGAATCTATTCTCCGTTGCTTTATTAACCAGTCATAAAATTGAAATCAGTTATTAAGTTAATCTTCCAGAAAACATCGAAAATGCTGTTCGAGCATTTTTTCGTGTCGAGTAGTCGAAAAAAAAAAGAGAAATAAACTTATAAGAATATAAAGCCGTCTTTTCGGTCAAAAAAGAAGTATTGTGATTAAATGCCTCACTGGCTTTGTTAAGTTTTGTCTTAGCTTTTGGACATTTCATTTTTTTTTCCCGAAAAGATCGCAGATGAGAATCCAACTACACAGCCAAATTCCCATTGCCCTCAGATTTCTTATAAAAAGTTTAGCGCTATTTTTGATTTCTACCACGTGTTCATTCTATTTTGTCAGAAACTGCTCTCGTGGGAAAGATTCGACGAACAAAAACTTCGGAAAGATTTTCAAAGTGAACGTACTCTAAGTCAATCAGGTTTTTTTCTTTTCTTCCTGTTTCATAAGACAACTTCATGCGTCAAAGAATAGACGGAGAACTCGAACAACTGAGGAGTAATGTACATAGAATCCTTTCTGAACAACAACAAGAATTCGCTCAAGTTTTTGGTCTTCACGATGAACATTCTTCTTCGGAGGTAAGTCACATCTTAGTTCGTATCCATGGTGGTGAGTTGCTTCCAATAACTTTGCATATTGCTGTGACCACTTTCTTCCCTCTTTTACCTAGTTGAGGAGACTTTCTTTTCCACCATATAGCATACTAGCATTGCTACAGTTGCAGGTGCACCCTTGTCAAGCAGAGGCAGCAAGCTATCGCAGCGCCGGAGAAATTTGAAAATTTAAAAGTCAACGGTTATTTTAGATTTGTGTTCGAGGAAACTCGGAGAAGAAAATAACATGATTATCACCGATGCCATCGTTTTCTAAAAGTTCCGATATCAAAATATTTCCGTTCACACTAAGGCAAAGGCGTTTTTAATTCCTTCGGTTTGAGGTCTTTGAAGAGCGTTTTCGAAAAGTTCCGTTTTCGGGAGGGATTAGTGTGGACGTTAGACCTCAACCGTAGAAATAAAATTAAGATTTCAAATTTCTCCAGCGTGGTGTGGAAGGGGCCTTATATTCTACTATAAATGAAATTTAGCCATGCTTTGAACTTTTTCTCAACTTGGCTTTCTGTGAATAAGTGCGGACCGCCTTCAATTAGGGCGCTATTGTTAACTTCATCGCACCGTGGGATTTACGTTGCACCTTCAACCGTTTGATTGACAGCAGCTGAAATCTCTAAAGAGACTCAGATATTCCCAAAGCTAACTCTGTGGAACACTCGGTTCAGCAGACTGGTTCTGGACATACAAATTATTATGCCACGAGTCGATAAACTAGGCACTACAAGTGCATGTCGCGGAAGATAATAACATTCTGGAAGAAATGTAAAATTTATTACATCTGCCGAATTATTCTATTCACCGATGCGACGGCCAACGCGTCGGCCGACGCAAAGGTAAAAAGCCGATCCCGACAACGCGTCGGCTAACGGGTTGGTAGACAGTCGGTCAGTCGGCGACTGTCGACCGACGCGTTTGCCGACGCATTGATAGGATCGGATTCTTTAGCTTCACCAATTATCGAATCAATTAATGTTCTGTTACAGGCATCGACATCGCATGTTGTCCCCCAGAGTAACTATGGTGATGACACAAGTTCAGGTTAGTGCCATTCGTATAAATGGGAGTGGACTCAATTCAAGTCTAGGGGCTCATGGTCTTTTGGATGCTTCAAAAATCCAATTTTAGGTTTTCGGGCATCGAGATAAAATATACTGAACCCAGTTAGAGATTGTCCTGGCTACATGAACAAAAGCCGAGCCTTTAGTAGTACTCAGTAACAAAAACTATAACCATAAGCTTAGCTACTAGCAACATATCCGTATGTTATCATTAAATTGTGGTGGATTCGCAATCTGCCTTGAGCAGCAATCAGCCACTACATGCTAGGGAAACCCAGAATGATCTGTAGTTTTGTTTTGCACCTACTGATAGTTTTTCTTAACGTGTATGAAATAAAGATCACGTCCGAGTATATATCTATAAATTAATATCGGCCACCCTCACGAGCCATGACCCAGCTGATGAAGGTTGTATTATTTTATTACTGTT